TATATATGATAATGTAGCCTAAAAGTGGATTTTGTAATGGTATATCGAATGACAGTACTAGGTATGATGGTGGATATTTAATACATACATACATTCTCTTTTTTTTTTACAATGACCTATGTGTAAAAAAACAAGCATATTTTAAACATGCTGGACAACCAGCTTTTATTTGCTAAATGTTTCACCTTTAGACTTTTTAAAGCTCAAATGAAGTCTAACTTGTTTATGCAATAATCCCACAGAAGTCCCAGCAGGTCCTCATCGTAGGATCCGGACCGACAGCACCATCATCCAATAACAGCAGTAAGTCTTTTATATTTGACTTTCAACCTGTTTTTTTACTAGTTATATCAATACCTGTCGCTCAGGGTGTACTTAATAATTTTTTGTGTTTTTAGAAGAGGATATTTTAGGCAACCTAACTCAATCCAGTTTTAGCCGCATTAAAAACATTACTGTGTGAATGTGAGGGAGTCCTTGCTCCATCTCCACACCGCAGTTCCTCCCTGTATTACCATGAGGTTTGTTGTGTTGAGTCATCTCGTCGGAACAGCCTCCAGTAGATGAGGAAAATGTTAATTTGGCTCGTATATTCAGAATGCTGCATCATGTCGTATTAGACGGCTGACTCTGGCATGTTCTGCCATGAAATCATATGTGAGGACCAGTTGGAGAGTGACAGAGCAGTGAAACGGCAGTCGACAGTCGCAGCCAAAATTGGACAGTTTTTTTTTTTTATTCTGAGGTCGAGAGACGCCAACTTGCCGGGAAAGTGAGCGTTAAGGACGTTAGGCGGCAGAGAGATGGCCCAAAGAAAATGTCAGACGGGAGCTTAGGGAAGGTAATGCGGAGATGAGTTGGCCACGTAAGAGGAGAGCATAACGTGGCACAGGAAGGGCCGACAGTTTGATCGGAGGAAGTGACTCCATGCCCCCCCGACCCCACCTCACCCCTCCTGGCATTCTTACTCGCACTCCTGCATATTTAATGCCACTTTTCCTTTTTCACATCCTGTAGCTCTCAGTGCAGGTAATGGAGCCGCTCCCCCTTGCCTCCTCTTTTTTCCCCTCTCGCTTTTTCTCGTGTAGCATTGATTGAAATCACATTTGCTGAAGTAATGGAAACATGTGGGTGTTTAGACTCATTGTGTTTTCAGAAAGTAGTTAATTCTGACCGTTGTCTTAGCGGAGCGTGCTACCTGAGGAAACTAGTTACGAGTTCACCTCAACAAACCTATTGTTATGACAGTGCTTTCATTTTCCACCTTAATGTTTTAGTTTTTCTTGCACCCCTGTTGTTTTTGTTTATATGCAGTAGAAATGTGTTCTACAAATACAACACATTTCTGGGTTGTTTTGGTTTTTTTGCTTTTAAATGCTTTCCAAGTGTCTTCCAAAATATTGAAGCCCTCGTCATCTTTAGCTGTGTGAGTAAGTGAGTGAATGTGCTCCGCGATACTGTGAAGTGGGCTTTAAAAATGGAAGAAAAAAAAAAAAAAAATTCACAGGGTTGTAACAGAGTGGTCTAAAGAGAACCAGATGTGAATCCTCTGCAGAAAATAAAGCCAGCAATTGTTTTTTTCATCCTACAATTGCTTTGGAAAATTAGACTAATGGCCCAGGGATACTTGGTACCGTTGCACTTCTTGAAAAACACAGAAAAAAAGTGAACTTAGTTGACATCTTAGACACGTTTACAAGAAGATGTTTCCATACTACCTTAAAATGTTATAATCCATCACCTGAAATCCAGAGAAACCAGACTTGATGTTGTTGAGTTTTCTGTATCTCTCTAGTCCTGGTGCTATAGACACTTAAAACTCAGCACACATTTGAAGGTGTCGAACATGTTTACATGTGAAAAATATGTTGTTTGTTTGTATTCCATTGCACAGGTCTCTCCAGGCGAGCCACTGTTGTGACGCGAGGTTGGCTGCTGGACACAGTTTCAACCTACACCCTCCAGAACTACCAGGACTACTTACTCTGACTGGGTTTACTTGATGGTTTTTTTTTATATAACTATAGATAAATCTGTATATATTGGTATGATAGAAGCTCTTTGTACGTACAAAATTTAATATTATTATAATTAAATCAAACTAACGAAGGTAAGC